CCCAGCCACCCCCCACTCACCTCCATGACCTTCTTGTAGAGCGACAGCTTGCTCTTCTGGACACGGTCCATGACGGCCTCGTACTGCAGGGGACACGAGGCTCTGAGCCCGGGGCCGCGACCTCAGGACGCTCCCCTAGGCCAAGAGGACGGGGTGTCCCTGGGATGAGGCGCAGCACCCCCTCCTGGCTCAGGGGTGCTAGGATGCCCTCCCTCTCCCAGAGCCATGCCTTCACAGTACCCTTAACCCGGGCGTGAGTGTGCCCGCCGGGTCCTCCAGGCTGACCCCCGCCACAGGGCCTGGTGTCCAGCTGGGAAATGCCCATCTCACACACATGCACACACACAGCCCTTCATCCTTCAACCTCGGCTGGCACCACAGTTGCCCACACGTGTCTGTGCACGCCCTGGCACACACATGCAGAGCTCCACGTGACCACACTCAGAGTACACGCTCAGGCCCCTGCCCTCGCCTGCTCATGTGCACACAGGCCTCCTGGGCCCGTGCATAGACATCACACACAATACACACTGCACAGTCCCACATTCACACACACAACCACAGACACGTTGGCACCAATGATGACAGTTCCCACAGATTTGTGGCCACATGCATGCCTGGTAGCCACAGCGCCCCACAGCTCACTCCCAGGCTTCTCATTCCAATGGAGAAGGTGAGACTGCCGGGACCGAGAGTGGGTTATAGTCAGGAGGAGAACTAGAAGGAAACGCCCCTGGCACCAGGGCCAGAGCCAGTTAGTGCCTGGGGTCTTGTGGGTGGGTTGGGGGGTCTGTGCCAGCTGGAGACCACAGAGACACAAGCACACATCAAAACACATGCAGAAGCCGAGCTCAGTGGCTCAGCCTGTAATCCCGCGCCTTTGGGAGGCTGAGGTGAGTGGATTGCCTGAGCCCGCGGGTTCGAGACCCATCTGGGCAGCAAGATCTCATCTCTACAATAAAACAAAAAATCAGCCGGGCGTGGTAGCGCACGCCTATAATTCCAGCCACTCGGAAAGCTGAGGCGGAAGGATCGCTGGAGCCCAGCAAGTCGAGGCTGCGGTGGCCGGGAGCGGCCACTACACTCCAGTCTGGGTGACAGAGTGAGACTCCAACTAAAAAAAAAAAAAACACATGCAGGGGGCCAGGCACTGTGGCTCATGCCTGTAATCCAGCACTCTAGAAGGCCAAGACAGGAGGATCACTTGAGCCTAGGAGCTCGAGACCAGCCTGGGCGGCATAGGAAGACCTCATCTCTACAAAAAGTCAAAAAATTAGCCAGGTGTGGTGGCACACACCTGTAGTCCCAGCTACTTGGGAGGCTGAGGTGGAAGGACCGCCTGTGCCTAGGAGGTCAAGGCTGCTATGAGCCGTCATTGTACCACTGTACCCCAGCCTAGGCAACAGAGTGAGACCTCAACTCAAACAAAAAAGAAAAACAAGCAAACAAAAAAACATAGGTACACTGGTCAGGCAGGACAAGGACACATACTCACAGGCACAAACACATATGCCCACATTGTCCTGTACGCATACACACACACACACACACACACACACACACACACACACACACACACACACGTGTGCACACACACAGGGCCAGGCAGGCTCACCACAGGCTACACCGCAGTGCTGCACTGCAGGGCCCTAGCTCTAGGGAAGGCATCACTCTGTCCCAAGCGGCTTTTACAGATAGCACATAGCACAACTCCTCCGGCCACGAAAAAGCTCAAAATAGCTGGGGTGGGACCTCACAGCAGGGTCTCTGCAGGCTCTGAGGCAGGTCCCAGCCTAGAGAGGTCGCCTGCTCCAGCATCTCAAGTCTGGTCGGGCCTCTGGAGGTGGCTTTGGGGTCCTGCTGTCTACACAGGAGCCCAGACTTAGAGCCTTAAAAGGCTGAGGGCCCCACTGGCCTGATGGGCGGAGAGGGCAGGCGGCCACACGGCACTTCTGCCCTCAGACCCACCTACCAGAACCCTGTCATGAAGTCGGAGGGGGGCCTGGCTCTGACTGGGTTCCCAAAGCTTGGGAGATGGATGTAAGTGCCCCATCCTGCGAGAGGGAAACCGAGGCACAGAAAGGGGACGTGGCTTGGCCAGAACCCCCAGGCCCAGCCTGGAGGCGGAACCTCCTCCCCTTGGCAGCTCAGTGTCTTTCCATTCTCGGTTCTCGGGACACTTTACAAGACCCTGCTCTCCCAAGCAAGAGGTGGCCCATGTGCTGGCCTCTCCCCCACCATCTAGGGCTCCCCTCACCACTGAGGCCTGGAGAGGCTGAGCCCCAGCCCTGCAGGTCCAGCCAGCCTGCATTCTGCCGGCCCTCCCAGCGGCCAGGGGCTCAACCAGTGAGTCTCAGGCTTGGGAGGAAGCCTGCTCCCCACCCAGCCCTGTAGCCTCCAGTCTCTGCGGTGATGGGGACTTCACTTCCTCTCCAGGCAGTCGCTCCATGTCGGGACAGCCGCGTGCTACCCATTGGTGAGAAGCACCTTCAGATGCTAAGCTACACCAGACACTCCTGTCCTTGGGGCAGTCCTGCAGAACGACTGACCACAGGTCTGCATTTCTTCAGGACCAGTTTCCAGTGACCCCCTGCCCAACTCAGATCGCTTTCTTTGGACACCTGGTCTGTGGTTGTAGAATGCTTAACCGGTTTCTGTCCCTGTCCCTGACCTGAGGCCACGCGGAAGAAGGGCCTTCTGTGGGGTTCTAGGGCTGAGAGCTGATGTCCGTTCTGGCAACCAGGACTGCCTCCACCTACAGGTCACCCTCAACCCCCAAAGCCGGGGGCACTGTACCCCCCCATGCTGGCTCTGCTGGGGAGTCCGGCCCGCAGCGGTGACTGGCCTGGGGCCCACCTCCCAACCTCACCTTCTTCCTCTGCTCCTTCTGCCGCTCCCGGAACTCCTCCAGGCTCCGCAGCTCCTCACGCAGGGTCAGGGCCAGCTGGATGTGCGAGCTGCCTACGTTCTCCATTTCTGGGGCAGAGGACAGACGCGGGTCCCCAACGGCAGCCCTGGTGGCCCCAGTCACCCGCAGCTACCCTGCCTGGCTCAGCCCAGCCCCACCCCTCATCTATCCCCCCAAACCCTCCACCAGCCTCACAGCCTGGGCAAGGCCGGCGCAGCCTGAGCTCACCCCCACCTCCCCTCCAGATTCCTTCCACTTCTGTCTGAGGGGGAGGCACAGGTTTTCTCAGGAGAGCCCGTCACCCTGCAGCTTGGAACAGGGGATAGTCGGGACTTACGCTGCTTCAAGGAGTCAAACGAGGCCCTCAGGGAGCTGCAAAACAGAAAGGACCCAGTGAGTGGGAGGAGCACACAGCTGGAACCTAAAGTCTTGGACTTTTATCTTGGTGGGGAGAGCCTGGGTCACTCTAGACCCAACGGACCCTCTAGCCAGATAGTGACTATCCAACAGGGTCCCAAACTGGGATTTCTGGAAGGCTAAGCACTCTCTTTGGGAATTGTGAAGCAGTCAACTCTCCCCACTGTAGCAGAAGAGGGAGGTATGGATACTCCCACCTCAGGCCCTGGCTGCATTCTCAGAGCAGCGTGGACTGTCTTCAGGACTCCCCCTTCCTGGAGCCCAGAGTCACAGCCCTCTCCTTTTCGATGAGTCTGAAGCCGGAGGGGCAGTGTTGGGATCTGGCTTTCAGCGGGCGGCCTGGGGGACCCTGGGAGGAGGCTGGGGGTGGATAGGGCACAGGAGGTGAGAGAGGTGGGCACAGTCTGCCCCAAGGAGGGGGAAAGGGAAGACGCTGGCACTGGGTGGAGGAGGGGGGATGGCCCCCGAGGGCAGAGTCTCCAGATGGAGCGATGCATATTCTCCTGGGCATGCCACCCGTCACCTGGCAGGTCCAGAAACGGGACTGACAGACAGAGTGCTCCTCCCCAGCCCGCTGGCTCTCAGAGGAGTGAGCTCCCCGTCCCAGGGCCTAAGAAATCGGCAGGGCCGGACAGGGGCTTCCTCCTGTGCTGGATGCGCCACCCCGGGGCCAGACGGCCTGGCTTCAGTCCAGGCTCTGCGACTCACTCGCTGTGCGGCCTCGGGCAAGTGTCTGTCTCCGTCCCCGCGAACAGGATGGTCGTGAGGATTGAGTGAGTTTGTATAAAGCACCTCTGCCGGGACCTGGGGCAACCCTCCCCTGGACCCATCCTGGAGGGATCCCCGGCCTCTGCCACCTCACCTGAGCTGACCCCCAGCCTGCTCCCCCTCAGAGCTCAGCAGTGCCGCCCTCATCAGACGCCCCATTGGGCTCGACTTCAGCCCCTAGGTGGGGCTCAGCCCCGAGGCCTGAGAAGGACGGTAGCTCGTGGTGGTTGCAGATTGTCCCCCAGGGCGCGCCTGCGTCTGGGCCGCCTCACCAAGGAGGAGCCGCAGTCGGTGCCGTCAGAGGGGGAAACTGAGGCCAGAGCATGTGCAGACTTGCTGGGCCACACGCAGGCAGCCCTGAGACATCCAGTCGCGGCGCATCCTGGCCAGCCGCCCCTCTGCGGAACAGCTCGGCCGCCCTCTGGTGGCTTCAGGGCCACATGACGCCGGCCGGACCCCGGGGGGCACCAGCAACCGCCTGCCCCTTGTACTTCCTAGTAATTGGTGCGCGTCAGGCTCCGCGGGAGGCGCCCTCCTCTCACTGGACATTTAGGGAAACTGAGGCCAAGGAGGAGCAGCAACCTGGCAGGCCCCCCGGGGACCCAGGCCTGGGGGAGAACCGTGGGGTCCCAGTTAGAGCCGGGTCCCATGCCCTGAACACTCATTCTCAGTGACGGACACACGCACACACACACACACACACACACACACACACACACA